AATTTTTTGTATTTTTAGTAGAGACGGGGTTTCACCATGTTGACCAGGATGGTCTCGATCTCTTGACCTCGTGATCCACCCGCCTCGGCCTCCCAAAGTGCTGGGATTTCAGGCTTGAGCCACCGCGCCCCGCCACTAATTTTTCTTAATATGTCTGTGACGTGCGTTGTATGTAAAACGCGACGTGTTTTCAAACACCAAGCAAGTCTGCTGTGCTCCAGGGCTTTTCCTCCTTTGGCAGGTCGCTCCGTCTCCACTTGCCCAGATAGAGAGCCTTTATTCCTCAGGCAATCCCTCTGACACCAACTTTTTACTTTACCAAGATATAAAATAACCTTGCTTGTTTTCTGCGTCACTCCTCCCCATGCTTGTCCCTCACAGTTGAGCGGCGCTGGCCTGCTCACTGCATTTCCGTAAATAAACTCAGCATTTTCAGGTAGCCAAGACCGGCCATTCCCGGCCGGATGGGACATTATTGTAACTTTGCAGGACTCCGTACAAGTCGCGTGGAAAATGAATCTGCAGACGCTTGCTTGTTCTCCAAACAGAAACTCTGACCCCACACTCCCCCTTCCCACCCCAATTCTCGCTCGAGTATTGAAAGGCCTGGGAACCGTCTCTCCAACTTTACCCAGAAAAGGCTCAAGTAGAGACTGGATCTCGCGCGCCGAGGACCACGGCGCCGCCACGTTTAGCGGCGTGCGTGACGCCAGCGCGCCTGCGCGCATGGAGGCCCGCCCCCTCTGCATCCGGGGCCTGGGCGGCGGCAGGGCCGCCGCGCGGAGGTCACGTGGTATCTTCCTTTTCCGTCTTTGGCCGGCTGGGCGCGGGCGACTGCTGGCTAGGCGCGTGGAACCTTACGCTGGTTCCCCTTCGTCTCCTCTCCCGGCCCGGGCCATTAGGGAGTTTGCTGACGCCGGGTGAGCTGAGCCAGCCGCCAAGATGCCGGCCTATTTTCAGAGGCCGGAAAATGCCCTCAAACGTGCCAACGGTAAGTAGCTGATCCCCGGCGCGCCGGGCTGGGGCCGCCCGAGGCCTCGGAGGTCGAGAGCCCGGGCCTGCTTCCCACTGCTCGGCCGCCCGGCCTGCGGCGAGAGAGGAGACCGATGCGGCCTGTCCGCCGCCGTCCCAGCCCCGTAGTTCGGCATGGGTTTCCTTTTCCCTCCACCGACTGGGGTCTGGGAGGCGCGGAGCCCGGAACCGTCGCTCAGGGGTCCTTCCTTCCCCCCACCGCCTCAGAGTGCGTCGCGGGGACGGCAGTCCGGGAGACAGCCCTTACCCGGGCCGGAGCTCCCTCCCCGCTGCCTGCCTCCGCTGGCTCTCCAGGTCCCCGGGGCTTTGGTCTGCTTAGGCCCCGCGCCCCTGGCCGCCATCTGGGAGTGCCGGGGAGTAAGAAACATGGCTCCCTCCCGGGGACAATGCATGCGAGAGCCTCGGCTCCACCTCCTGCCCGGGCCGGGAGCCCTACGGACCCACCCCCGGCCTTCCCGCAGCCACCCTCGCTCTCTGAAGCTGCGCTCGGTGCTTTGCTGGGTCAGGGTCCACTTACCTTTCACCCAGCCGCTTTATATCCACTTAGGGGCCTCTGACCCATTTAACGTGATTCTTTTTTTCCCCCTGGCATTCATTAGAAGCAGTCCGAAAGCCTGTTTCGAATCACTGAAGTTGGAGTAGAGTTAACGTAAAGGGACTTCAGGTCTCCTATAACGAAACAGGCCTAGAGAGAGGTTTCCCCAAGGTCACTCCGGGAGTCGTCGAGCCAAGAGAGTAAAACCAACGTCTCTAGACATTCAGATCACTTCTTTTTTTCTGCCCAGCACTGCTGTCTGCTCTTTCTATTTCCATATGTGTGCTTAAGTTTTTGGGGCTTGAGGGAAAAAGTTGTGTGCCCCGATCTCCAAGGCATTTGTTACGTTGGCGTTCTGAGGATGCACATGTTCTTGCTTGTCTCTTGTCTTAAGAAACTTTATGGTTTTTTTCCCCCCTAACCCGGCATTTTTTTTTTTTTTAATTATTAGGGCATGCATAGCTCTTATTTTCGTCTTTGCTTCACCAAAACAGAAGTTTTGGGTCTTACCCATGTTGTAGACGAATATACCGTGTGAGTTACAGTCTTATGTTTGGAGAGCTTATTTTGTTAGGTTCTTTCAAAATATATCTCGTGAAAACGGCAGTTTGAGTTAGCACATAAACTGATAATCTGGCAGGACCAGAGATATGTTGGTCATGTACTTTTTGTTTGAAAGTAACACTTTTGTGGGCGAGGGAACTGGTCGATGGAATAGGATAATTCCACATTGTGTGGAATGGAGTCATTGTTTTAAAAAACAAACTACAACATAGGTGTGATCACGAATTCATTCTAATGATAACCAGTGATCTAATGGTTAGAGCAGACAAGTTTTAGGATGTTAATATATCGGAAAGAATAGATTGAAATGGAACTTTGTTATATAAACCAAACGGTAGCAAAGTTTGACTTTTTGACGTTTGGAAACTTAGAATTTGTAGTATACAAAATGACCTGCGTGAAATTATTACTCTGCATGGCTGTTGTCGATGTCTTACAGTCATCTGCATGCTTTGTCCAACAGGTATTTTTTTTTCCCTATGCTAGTAGGCTGAATTTTGAAGCACTATAATGGCCTAAATATTACATATTTGTTCAGGCTTTGCTTCCTTCATTGCTTCTCTTTTTGGAATCTTCATAAGAACTTGATATAGAAAAGATATGTAATGTGCATCAAACATTTTTTTCCTGTTTCTAAATTGACATAGGCTTGGTTCATGAAAGGCAGGTCCAGGAAAGTATCTGAAATTAAAGTAGGCAAGATGAGGGGCACTGTTGAGGAAAGTTTTAATTTTGCTTGTGTAGCTTTTTAAAGAAGACTATGGACACCTTGCTTGCAGCCCTTTGAAGCTGTAGGATGGGGACGCATGCCTTACTGTCAGAGTAGAAATTCATACCTTTGATCTTGTGAGGGATCCCGACTCAAAGTGAGGTTGTGGATGGCCCAGTGCTGTGCTTCCCAAATCAGTGAAGGATCAAAGGGCATTTTCTTAATTGGAAATAATCTCATTTTATCTAAACGTTTTATATGTAACATTTGTGGCCCAACAATATTTAGACCTAATCTATTGCATTACCTTAATAAAATGTAAATAAATTTAAGTAGAATAGTCGTTTGGGTCACCATAAGCATATATATCAGAACAATTTTTTTGGGAAAAGTTATAGTAATCATTCAAGAAAATTGGACCAGCAGTTACAGTCAAGAATTTTGTATCCTGTAATCATTTGGAGAAGGCCCCTTTTTTTTGCATTACGTAGTTAGCAGTGCCGAACTAACTGCTGCTGACCTATTATAGTTTATGCTCTATAAACAGTGCGTTTAAAAAATAAAGTTGTTATTAAGCCCACAGATTAACATTGTAGCTTATCCATTTGTTCTGTTGCACAAATAAACTATTAAAAATCAAGGACTGATATAAACTTTATATATACATACTTTCAGTAATGAATTTTAGAAGTATGCTCTGAATGCCCACTCATCTAGTAAGGTTTATAATTCTAGATTTTTTTTTTTTTTTTTGACATAGAGTCTCTGTCGCCAGGCTGGAATGCAATGACATGTTTTGTGGCTCACGGCGACCTCTGGCTTGCTGGTTCAAGCAATTCTGCAGCCTCAGCCTCCCAAGTAGGTGGGATTACAGGCATGCGCCACCACAATCAGCAAATTTTTGTATTTTTTTAGTAGAGACGGGGTTTCATCACGTTGCCCAGGATGGTCTTGATCTCCTGACCTTGTGATCCGCCCGCCTCGGCCTCCCAGAGTGTTCTGGGATTATAGACATGAGCCACTGCATCTGGCCATAACTCTAGATTTTAATTTTTATTTATTTATTTCTTTTTTTTTTTTTGAGACGGAGTTTCGCTCTTTTTACCCAGGCTGGAGTGCAATGGCGCGATCTCGGCTCACCGCAACCTCTGCCTCCCGGGTTCAGGCAATTCTCCTGCCCCAGCCTCCTGAGTCACTGGGATTACAGGCACGTGCCACCATGCCCAGCTAATTTTTTGTATTTTTAGTAGAGATGGGGTTTCACCATGTTGACCAGGATGGTCTCGATCTCTTGACCTGGTGATCCACCCGCCTCGGCCTCCCACAGTGCTGGGATTACAGGCTTGAGCCACCGCGCCCGGCCAATTTTTATTTCTATAATATTAATTTGGAAGTCAATATTTAAGTATTGAAATAGAACCTTTAGTTTATCATAGTTCTTTCCCGCCTCAAAAGCTTCCCCTGGCCACCATTAAATAATTCAGACGAACTAAATTCTTGTATACAAATTATGACAAAGGCAGAAGACTTACTGTCATGGATTATCATGAAAAATCTCTTCTTATTCCAACTAACTTATTTATTTATTTTGAGACAGAGTCTTGCTCTGTTGGCCAGGCTGGAGTGCAGTGGCCTCATCTCGGCTCACTGAAACCTCCACCTCCCCGGCTCAAGTGATTCTCTTGCCTCAGCCTCGAAAGTAGCTGGGATTACAGGCAATGGGCATCACCCCCACCTAATTTTTTGTGTTTTTAGTAGAGACAGGGTTTCACCATGTTGGTTAGGCTGGTTTCAAACTTCTGACCTCAAGTGAATCATGCACCTTGGCCTTTCAAAGGGCTGGGATTACAAGTGCGAGCCACTACACTCAGCCCCAACATTTTATTTTAAAAACATCCTGGTCTATTCATATTTTCTTCTATTTTGCGGAGGAGGTGGTCTTTTAAAAACATATTTTTCAGTATAATGTTTGCTGTGGCTTCAGACTATTTCAAAGAAAGTATGGGATTTGGAATCATAAGTTTTTTTATTTTTAAGACAGGACTCTTCACCATGTTAGTCAGGCTGCTCTTGAACTCCCGACCTCAAGTGATCCGCCTGCCTTGGCCTCCAAAGTGCTTGGATTACAGGTGTGAGCCACCACGCCTGGCCTGGGATCAAAAGTTTTTTTCAGATGGAGTTTCATTCTTGGTGCCCAGGCTGGAGTACAATGGTGCCATCTCAGCTCACTGCAACCTCTGCCTCCCTGGTTCAGGTGATTCTCCTGCCTCAGCTTCCCTAGTAGCTGGGATTGCAGGTGTATGCCACCATGCCTGGCTAATTTTTGTATTTTTTTAGTAGAGATGGGGTTTGACCATGTTGCCCAGTCTGATCTGGAACACTTGGCCTCAAGTGATCTGCTTACCTTGGCCTCCCAAAGTGCTGGGATTACAGGTGTGAGCCACTGCGCCCGTCCAAGGAATCATAAGTTTTTATTGGCTGTTCAGGAAGTGAAAAGTGGTTTCAGGGCCGGGCGCGGTGGCTCAAGCCTGTAATCCCAGCACTTTGGGAGGCCGAGGCGGGTGGATCACGAGGTCAAGAGATCGAGACCATCCTGGTCAACATGGTGAAACCC